CAATCCAAGTCCGGAAAATTTCACGCTTTTGTCGCAATTCCAAAAGGTCGTTATAAATCAATGATAACGATTAATTAGATAGTCGGCCAAGAGGATCAACATTTGATTTTGTGCACTACGTTGATTTCCATAAAGTGTTTTATTGGCAGCCGTATGTTTGATTGATTCTGTTTAACTGTCTGACTATATTCTTAATGAACTAGACGTTTGATTTTATAGCTACTAGGGAAGTGTATTGTTTTGCACAGGCAACTTCTCACTTTTGACTTACTTATTTTGTGCTTATTTTCAATCATTCGTGGATAGTGGGTTTTTCCTAGGTTTTCGGTATACTTATAATAATTGTCAAGCAACTATTACATATCCATAATGCTCAATTCCCTTACTGTTCTAAAATTGATCTAACAAGAATGTTGTCGTAACATCGAATGTGGAAAAAGCACTGTTCAGGTTCACTGCGCTTGTTTCTGCGCATAATTTATCCGTTAACCACGACAAACTTACATTTTTGCTCGCGGATATCCAAGTGACAACAGAAAATTTATTGGGCACCACCTACTTTTGATATATTTAAACTAATGTGAATCAATGAATCATGATCCGGCCCGTGGTTATTGGTAATGCTGGGGACTTTAAAAATTAAAATAAAACAGTAGTTGTGTCGAGTAACCCTCCTTACAATTAAATAAATATTAACGAACTTGAAAAACTAACAGGAACACTGACTGGAATGTATTTTTTCCATGGTCATCCTTCTGTTCCACCAGTCCGCCTATCAATACATATGTGACTGAAAATCAGCATATACGAGCAGTATACTAGCGAAATGGATTCCTACACTAAATAAAATGTATTGCTATTATCAACACAAGCTACGCACAAATCACTCATATTATTCATCCATTAAGGTGTTTAACATATGTCTGTGAAATCTGTTTTGTGGTGGCTTGTTGAAGCATACCTGAACAAAATCAGTCTTTTTTATCTTTGCTGAATTTCATTTCACCTTCGACTAGCGTGTTGTGAACGAATCTATAGTGACGTGTCATTTCACGGCCAGTTGTTTGGATTAATCGTTGTGAGATAGTTATATGGTATATGGGAAATGGACCTAAGCCATCACCACCAGTCGCTTATCAAAATAAGGCCCGATTAAGTCGAGTGCGGATTCTTGATCGCTTGATAGTTCACGAAACATAGTGGGGGTCAAGAAGCAGGTACGATAGGATTATCGAGATAGCGTGCTCCGCCATCCGAACCCGGTCACTGAAAAAATGTTACACCGATCTAATAAAAATGATCTACGTCTTCCGTATTCCGAATATTTAACAAGTCTACATACGTGAAAAGGAATTTTGAGAGATTTAAAAGATTGACACCAAAGATTATTACTTAACATTAAAATTTAATCCATTGGCGCTCAAACATTCTCCGCGGTTGATTCGGAGGATGGAATGGGCGACACAAATCAAGAGCACATATATTGTGTTTGTCCTCTGTCTTGTCAGACGGATTGTGAAATCTCCCGGTTTGCCAGTAATATTTGTGTTATTGTAAGCTTAGTCAGTGTATTATTGTCAACAGTTTAGCCTTGTTGAAAATTGAAAGTTTGGTACTTAATGTTATCCTTGTTGTATCAAACGGAGTGTTAGTAAAGTACCGAGTATTTAAGGTTCTACTTGTCGGTATATGGTGTAATCCACACATTTGACGATATACAAAACAAAAATTTATTAGGGTGCTTAGTATCACATTAGTTAACTGGTAATGCTATGACAAACCGATCTTACGTATAGGCCAAATCGTTGTCCACACTGACTCGTCTCAGTGACAATCATTACTGTAATCTTCACCACTTCTAAAGACCACATTTAGGCTGTCGATAGGATGAGATATTTATTATGAATAGGAATACGTCACACAGAGTGACCACGCCTGTACGCTCGAGCCATGCCATACAGATCGATAGTTCCTGAGTTCGCCATCACATACCTTTTCTAATTGTTACATATTGAACACAAATCTTACTAGTTACATTTTTAGCTTCAAAGATCATGTGGAAGCAAACATTAATCAATCAATCATAATTGTACATTTTCTTTTCGTATCTGATTACTTTATACAAACAGGGGAGCAATTCTTCAGTTTTGACTGACCTTGATTCTTTTTTAAGATCCCTTATTTTTGACTTTAGTATGACTAGTAGTTAAACATATGACACCAGGGCAGAAGATGGGGAAATCGTGAATGACCAACAGGTTGTTTGGAAGCCCGCTTGTAGCATGAGTGAACTATTTCCGAATATTGAATCTCAAACGCTGAACGGGTTAGTTATTCTTCATTAGACTGTGGAAATGAAACTGGCATATTCTTGTCAGGTAAATTGATCGAACTGACATTCAAATGAAAATTAGTTGTAGCGGGAAGCTGATATGATAACTAGGATTGGTTGGCTGAAAGAATTTGAACAATAAAAAAACCCTACAACTCGAGTTTCTCTCGTTTTGTGAAGAAACCATGTTTGGCAATATAAAAACCGATTTCTGTCGTCTATGCACGCATGTAAAGTGCTGTCGCGCGCAATTTTGAAACGATGTTTCTTGGCCTAACTCTGTAACATTACTATTTTGTTGATTTTCGTGTATTGTAAGCAACCCAAAAGCTCAAAAATTTTATGTTGTACAGCAGCAGCAGGCAACGCTAAAAACGATGAGCATAGTTTATGTTGTCAAAGACGACTCTGGTGGTTTTCAGGAGTCAACAGACCACCAGAACATAGTAACACACGAGAATCTTGCTGCCATACGCACACGCAACCGACTTCAAGCACTTCAAACTCACAGTGGCTGCTATCATTCAAGGAGTTCAAAGTTGTGGGGAAAAGAGCGGCTAGAGTTGAACGTTTATTACTTCTCTTACGTGTCATTATATTTCCCGTTATATTGTAATGACTGCCAAAACACCTTGTATGTACGAAAAAAACAATCTTGCGCTCCAACTACTCTGTTCCATGATCTAAATAAAGACCTATTCAGCTGCTAGTTGGTTTCTTCTACTGATAAAACAAGGGGTGTCTACCATCATGAAAAACCTATTCAGCAGTAATTTACACTTACTCTCCATTAACATTATGTGCATGTACCAAAGTCATGTCGTTGATACTAACTCGTCGTAACACTACTGGATATCGAAACTCACTAAAGGATTCAGCAAATTAAAGTCAAACTCAAATTTGGATTTTGATTGCAGAAGGCCGGAGATATACTATGGTTCCCTTCTAGCATGTGCTTCGTTGAATAGATTGTTGTGCGTTTCATAAGTCCGTTTTTCGGTGAAAAACTCATATACCGAAAGGGATTTATCGGTTACCGACGTCTTAGCCCATATGCGGTATCCTCAGTGATATTCTGATATGGCTGAAAGAAAAACACATGAGTAAGATCCGAAATATATTATCATTGCTATGGATAACAATCAAATCACTCATTATTTCCTGTGGAAAAATAATGAAAACTCTGTGTACTCCTAGGCTTCTTGTTTTTGGGTAAGGCAAGTATTGACGGGACTGAATGTGTGGCAGTTCTTTGTGCTCTTTCCAAGATATATGAGACATGTTTTAGTCACGCTTCCATCACAAATACAATTTTCTCAAGTGAATCACTTTGGAACTGTGCAAAGTGTAACTAACGACTTTCTCTTTGATGTAAGGAAAATGTTCCCTAGAGTCCATATTATTTTGAAATATTTGGCTCCATTGTTCTGAAAAATGTGGATCGTATCGCTGTACTCTTCCAATATCCCAAAGCACGGTCCCGGACAAGTGGAAAATGTTAGACATTACTTAGTTCTCAGAGATCGTTCGCCTAAAAAACTTTAAACCATTGACTAGCGATAGTTCCAAAGAGTCTTCATTCTGTATTATTACCCATTTTACTGCCATCAATAACTTTTTTGGCATCCCGAAAGCAAATTTTCAAGAAGGTTTATCCACTTTTTTATCATAGGAGTCTTGATTTACACGAATGAAACTACTGGATCTTTGTAGCTTGGAATAAACAAGCGAACAAAGAGTGAACATATATGAAGCTAGAACATCATAAACGATCTAAATATAATAATAATATATTCTCAAATATCAGTTTGTTACATGAGGCATGCCGGTTTACAGGCAAGGTCAAGTTGTTAGAGAAGTTACAACTCACACTGTAGAAAATTACTCAGCTGGGTTAATATTTTATAAGATATAGTCAAACCTAACAGAGAACTCAGAGGAAATACTAGTGATTTACAGATGAAACGTGGTAGGTCGAGCCAAAGGGACAATTTTTACCCCTTACTAGTAGCCGAATCTTGGAGTACCGTCCCAAACCTATGTATCGATAAATAAATCCGTAAAATAAGCAGCTCTGTAAGTCTTCAACATTGGACGCTGACCACATTAGTTTTGATGAACTGACATAACTGGGAGCTGTCGGTCGTAAATCAAGACCAGATCACGAGAGGAAACGCTTTGCTCAACATTCCCTGCACTCTCTAGCCAAAATACATCAGTCGATCATTCGTATACTGATTACCTATCAAATATATCTCCGAAACTCTTCGCTTCTGACTTCTGATATCAACTGATGGGTACGATTCATAGCAGAAGGTGTTGCTGATTAAAGTGTCGTCAAACTCCAAATACCTGTGGCATCTTCACCATACTAATTTACTAACACTTCAGCGATTTCGTGGATTTAAGTGTGTACCTGATAGTGACTGTGATTAGCAAATACCATAAGAAGGAGAGAATCTAGCAACAGTTTATTCTGCTCCATCAAAACCCATTAAGCCATTTGAACAGAACGACAGCAAACCATTCGAACCATTGTCTCCAGGTCATGACATAACAATGCACCCTGAATTCATCGAAAAATTATGAAGTATATTTTGAATATAACGTTTAAATGATTTTTTATCCAGGTTTTCACCTCAAAAATGTTAATTTGTTTATATCAACTATTTCAAGTGTTAGTAGTACTCTAGATTCCATCGGTGGTAAATTGGAAATGTCGTTGTCGGATCCATATGAATGTCTAGCAAATGAGAGTAAAATTATAGAAAAGCACACCGAACAAAGGCTGCAAAATGATCATCGAATGGATAATCTAATTCTTTTAGTATACGTAGTACTTCTTACTCTCTCTGCCATAACAATCTGGGCTTTTAAACATAGACGCTTTCGATATATCCACGAAACTGGCCTTTCAGTGGTGTATGGTAAGCTTCATCATTTATTAAATTATTCGCAGGGCTGGTCGTTGGTCTTATATTGAGATATGCTATAAATTCTGCAAGTTATTCCGTAGAGTTGCACGTGTTTCCACGTAAAAATGATGAAGCGTGCGGTGGTCATTTGCCTCCAGAAAGGCTGATTATTGAGTTTCCTGTTCGTGACCAGTACGGGAAGTTTAATTTAAGCATGTCATTTCGGTACAAATTTGAACAGCAGTCAGATTTTAACTCTCTGATTAACAATAAGGTAATATAAATTGTATTATCATTTTCAGGCTACATTCGACCCGGAATTCTTTTTCAATGTTTTACTTCCTCCTATAATTTTCTCAGCGGGATATAGCATGAAGCGAGTATGTCTGATTTTAACGCAAATTCATTTCTAGGGTTACTTTTTCAAAAATATTGGAGCTGTTCTTACTTATGCATTTGGTGGTACTTTGTTGTCCGCTTTAGTTGTCGGGTAGGCTGAGGGTATTATTTAAACTTTTTACAGAACCATTTGTTATGGCTTCACCCGTGGAATTACTTCTTTGTCTCAAACATTGCGTCTCTCAGATTGCCTATTGTTCGGGGCTATAATATCTGCAACTGATCCTGGTAAGAATATATCACTTTGTGATAGTTTTAGTGACCGTTTTGGCTATTTTTAGTGACTTGAAGGTTGATGTCAACTTGTATGCACTTGTATTTGGTGAGAGTGTTCTTAACGATGCTTTAGCGATTGCCCTAGCCCAGTAAGTTACATTCTGTTCGTGCAGTTTCGTTACCAAATTTTGGCCTTATGTTTAGTACGCAATCTCTAGTATTGATAAAGAATAAAGTAAATTTGCTTTTGCAGGTCGATCGAGAAATATGGATCTATTTCCGCTGGTAATTTCGATGGCCATGCTTTCCTGTCTTCTGTGTTGAACTTTTTTATAATGTTTGGAGGTTCTTTCGTCACTGGCGTTTCTATTGGCTGTGTAACATCTCTTCTTACAAAATTTACACACATCAAGGAGCATCCTCTACTGGAAACAGCTTTGTTCGTCCTAATGTCTTATAGCACGTTTCTTTTTGCTGAAGCTGTTGGGTTTACGGGTCAGTTATGTGTGTATTATATTTTATCATACGTCGATTAATACTTTTCGTACAGCTAAGTCGGTTATTTTCGCTCTTATTAGACCTAAAGCCCGTTACCAGGAAAAAGATCACTGTACCGAGATTACAAAGTTATTTTTTTTGCGAGACAATGTCGTATAACTAGATGTCGATTTCCGATCAAACGTCACTATTATTGTATGTAAGTTATATATATTAAATTAAATGAGTTGTGTCTGTGGTACTTACGTGATGTGCTACTTAAATGAACAGGTATGCGTAGTATGTGCCAGTAACCGAAAGTAGAATCCTAAAGGAATAGAAAGGAAAACGGAAAGCAATCAAAATAAAAACAGGAGTGGAAGGAGAACAAAGTTTGTACTAAATAACTCAAGAAATATGTGCAAATAATGCATTTAATGTATTGTTTTGGTATTTTACAAATGCCATATTACAAAATACTGGTCTATTACCAGAGACTTCTTTCACTACACTTACTCCAAAAATTCTAGTTAAGGCACTAATCTATTTTTGGATTCTGGGTTGGCGTAGTTGGAACTTCGTGGGGATCAGGATTGACACATAGTTATGCAAGTTTCCGGGTTTTCTTTATTGGCTTGTTAAAATATAGTAAAATTTGAAGTTGCTCATATTGCGGTAAATACCATCCTGTAAAGTTTTATTTGATATGACAGCAGTATTTTAATTACGGTTATTTTTAATTGTTTTGATTTTAAACTACATGTCTGAGTAATATGATACTTGTTTTGCAAGCTATATTGTCCATTTGATGAACTGGTAGTTTCATGATTTGTATTTTATGGGATTCCAATAAGTAGTAGAACATTATAGTCAAGTTCTAAACATCCTTTTTATAAAGCAAAGTTTTACTCCCAGTATTTTGTTTATTTGCCATATTTAGGTCTAGTTATCTCGGTAGTTAGCGCAATTGATAAGTATTGCCTTATTAATTAATTGTCGTTTATCAGAAGACTAATCAACTTTACAGAAGCCTTGGATAAAACCTTAATATCGAAAGTTTTCAACGGGTGCATATTATGATCGAAAGAATTCTAGCTGTAGTTTATCATTACACTTGTTACCTATCCTTACAAGCTTCGGGTACACTTGTAATTAGCACTGTAATTCGTGATGAGCATCTTTCAATGTACTATTAAAATGCTGAGGCGTGACTTGTCTCCAGTTTATATCTCTCTACGTTTATTTGATTAGTCTCATTCATTAAGTTCTTGACCAGGTTTTCGGCTATTTATTTTGATGAACTAGTGAAGTTTTTGTGACTTGAAGCGCTCAATTGTATAGCGAAATCCTTGATGAAACTACGTTAAGTTAGTTATTTTGAAAATATGACCAATGGTTATCTTGAACAAACTGATACTCCTACAGGACCGTCTTCAATAATGGTATATCAAAAATAATATAAAATGATGTATATTCTAGTAAGATTAAAATCGACTAATTTTGTATACAGTTGTGTTTTTATCAACGAAATCCCGATATTCTATATTTGCTAATAATAGTCATTAAATTATCGTTACTGTTTTGCTTGCTTTCAGCTAATTACATCGGAAACTTGTTTATTTAAATAATTTTTTCAGATATTCTTGCATGTATTACCCATATTGACACCTTCGTACCGTTCTTAATTTATGGAATTCCTTCTTTCGAAAAAGCCATTCCATGCAATAAATAAGAGCTTTAATTTTACTGTTTAAGCGTTTTGTTTTAGGCGCGGTGACTATTTTTAGTAGGAAATGAGGAAATCCGTATGGACACTAAATCTCGTCATTTGCATCAACATATAAGCTGTATGTTGTGTACACTAACGTCACTAATATTTTGGCTACGCAATATTATATTGGAAATACGGCTGCATAATTGTTTTGTCAATCCTAACGAGTGCCACTTAGGTGTATTTACGATGCAGTCATGACTAGCCTGTTACTTCTTAGTTTCATTTGACCAAAACTACTAGTGCCTAACGGTCAATAAAACTGCACATGTTATGTAAAGAACTGAGTCAGACAAACCTTCATATGTTTTTGAATCTTAGATTTTAAATATACTTTGTTTTTAAGTGGATAGAATTAGCCCAAAAATGTTTTTTCTTTCTTACTGTCAACACCGTTTTTTGCTGCAGTGTGTGCCAGTATATAATCCAAAACTTATACGTCAAATATCAGTTGAAATCTCGTTTGAGGTTTTCTGCCTTTTGCAAAACCATCATTAGGACGTTTAATATTCACTTGTCACTGACTTTCTTAGGTTAATTTTTCTAGTAAGTTCATTGCATGACAGCTATCCAAACTAATTATTTCATTAGTTTCCCAATCTATCGAATACTCATTTTGATCTAGTATATGCTATAATTAGTTGCCACCCTGAATCTTGGCTTTCAATTTATTTTTTAGCCGTACTCTTTTTGATCAATTCAGGCACAACCTCTGTCGTATGAATGTATCAAACTTTTCTAGTCTTCGAAAAATATTTTATTGTTTATGGGATGTTTATACGTTCAGTTTTTAACACGTAAAACATAGTTGGTGTTCAATACAGTCATTATGTTTCCTTTTCCCATATTTCTTGACAATTCATGAAAAAACCTAATAACAGCTAGGAGACTACTATAGTAAGACTGTCGACTTTCTAGATACTGTTTGCTGATGTGGGATTTACATAGTTTTCTTACGTTTTGGAGAAGTAACCACCAACTTGATTTCATTGATTAAACGTGCCTTTCCTTCCTTACAATAGTTGTTCAACACCTATTTTAGAGGTCATTGTGTACACAGTGACAAAAATATCACTGTAAATTCAAATTTTTTGAACTCAGTCTTAATCATATTGATTACAATTCGCTTTCCACTGCGCGATCTTTCACAGCTATACTGGTTGGTTTTTCAGCATTTATGTCAATAAGAAAGCATTTGCTTATCGAAATTATTCTTTGTGTGTAACATAAACTTAATAACATTTGCTTTCGAAGTTATTTTGCAGTGATTTATTCGCGTCATTATTTTTATTATCGATTGTCAGTTTTATTGGCAAATTTCGCAAATCATTACCGAAATAATTACGTACCTAGTAATTTTGAGAATGAACTTAGACATGGCAGCTAGTGTGGAGTCATTTGTCGTCGCGTGTATTTTCATCTTGAAACCGTGATATGTTAAAACGTGAGACCTATAAATTCAAAGCGCAAACAAAATTTTTCATCATATCTGGTGAAATTAGTAATTATCAGAAGTTACATGCGTCTTCTCTGATGGATATATTTTATGTCAATCATCAATATAGCGTCTTCACTTGTCTAACATACACTTAATACTTTACTCCTATCCCATTTTCATATGTCAACCTAAGATTTCATTTATTTTTAGGTATTGTTTCCGTGTTGTTCTGTGGTGTGACTCAAGCACACTACACTTATAACAACCTATCCCAGGAATCTAAAGTATGGACAAAATCTGTAAGCTTCCTTTTTTAAAATAATTTTATAGGGAAATATGCGAATTAATTTCTAATATTGGGGAACCGTTCATACGTAGCACAATTCATTCCTAAATTTTGATTAGTTGCACATTACAGTGATAATCATGGCTTAGCGATGATTTGGTTGAGTGTATACTTCTCGTTTTGATCAGCCTCACCCATAATAAAGACCCACTATAATAGAAAACATAGGATAACCTTTACTGCTGATTAAAGTTTTGAACCACATAAAATATCTATGGGCGTCCAGCTGTATAATTTTTTGCACCTCATATGAACCGGGATCGGTCAACAGATGTTAGTAGAGTACAGTCATTCTCCATCTTATCTTGTCATTTCATAAATTATAATCTTTCAATTACTTCTATCAGTGGTAATGTTATGTCCGCACCGCCTATTACTTGTACTTGAAAAACAAGGATCCATTACAATTTCCTCAACGCTAAGCAAGGACTCTGAAGATTCGTATAAGTGAAGGTTAGTTCACCCCAAAAACAGGACTACCCTAGTTCAACATACGCTCACTTATAAATCAATTTGCACGTCCATTTGAAATGTCACACACATGAAACTACAACAAAGTCTCATGCTGCATATCATGCTGAACATAGTTCATGTTAATTTATTACAAAGAATATCATATGTTGAATAAAAATCACACTGAAATGTCTTTTGCTGAACGAAATATCCCACTGAAAAATAAAACATATTAAACCGAGTAATCATTGTATTGAATTAAAAGCGGAAGTAATGTTGAACAAAACTCATGAGTCAGAAATGTAATTTTCACTTTCTAACCCGTCATGTCAGTTGAACAATGGGCAATATACAGACTTCTGCAAGCGGTTGCTTCGTGATTAGACCAGTCAACTTTCGATTATATCGACAGTTTTTTTAAATAAATAATATATTTGTAATATCTCAATGAGTAGAAAATCTAATTTTTCTAGCTTCAAGCTTCCAGTGATATTTTTCTAACTTCCAGTCTAACAACATTATTTCAAAAGTGTACTGAATGTGCTACCTGAAATACCTCGTTATGTAATTTCATCGCAACACTTAGGAAACAATGGACTTAACATTTTACTCAAAAATTGTGTCGGTCTGTATCTTAAATAATTCTCTAGGCTCTCTTTTCAGAGTCGCTTAAGAAATGTATTAGTCATAGCGAAGATCGTTAAAGTAAATTTAATATAAAAATTTTTGCTCAGTGGAGAAAGTATCACAAATTTATCACAGTTATAATCTGTTTTATTAAGGATAATAAGAAAGAGATTAAAGCTCACATACATTTTTTGATCACCCAAAATGGAATTTTGGGATTTACAGATACTTCTATACGATACATATTTTTTATCATCCATTGTATTCCTGAACTTTTAAGAGAAGACCGCTTTGCCACGTATATCCCTGAAAGTTGTTATTGAGGTTAACCTTTAACTTTCCAGCTCCATTGTGAATGAATGTGGAAGGCGTTTAAACTTTGCAAACAACTGCCTGGCGTCATTTTTTCAGATAAACTACCGCTTGGCTTTAGAAATTTCCCTTTTATTATCTATTAACATGACAGGACTTGAGTACATAACAGTTTTATTCGATAAAGCTAATCAAAAGGTTTATAGTGCCTAATAGAGCATGCATATTATGCGATGAAGTAGCAATAATCGCAAAAATGGTCCATCATTTTTAAGGCCAAAAATGAACGAAGATATTAATTGGCAAGCAGAAATTAATAGTGGCTAGCAGTGGAAACCAGGACGCGCGTTTCGTCCTATTTGGGACTCGTCAGCTGGATGTACCTGCATCTCAGAGTTGATGTTCATTCAAACAAACAATACTAAATGAAGATATTAATTGTTGTAAAGACGTTTGATATCATTTTGAATATTAGACTTGATTTTGTTTGCTGAGAAGTTTCTGAGTTTCCGCAACGGAAAGTGTGGTGTCCGATGAAAGGTCTGCAGTATCTTATCCCTGAAATTTCCTAATGTATATAAATACAACGGTAATAGCTCTATTCAGTGCTGTTTGGACACAGTAGGGAATTTTCCTCCCAATTTATGGTATTTCCCAAACCGCTTAATAAAAATATGTTTATCGCTATACATCCTCTTGTCCTAACACTACCCAAATTATTCAGCTGATTATACGAGTACCTCATTTCATGATGTAATAATCTGAGTTAAACTCTAAGTGTCACGATGTATATTATTTTGGAAACCTGCAGCATTTATGGATGAAAGAGGTAATTCTCACAGAAAGTTTTACACGTGACAGTTTAACAAACGAATTTTTCTAAAATTGTTCGTAAACCTGTCTTAATTAGCCATCATCATCTGCAACAAATCACTTTTGAAGTTTAGGAAACGAACTTTCATGTTTCAATATCGAAAAAATATCTTGTCATCTTTCATGGCTTTTTATTCAGTAGGTTATAGCAACTATCCTACAACCAATTTCAATTATGATTAATTTTGGTTAAGCCCTTTTATTAACTTAATAATCAGTGTCATTTGAATAGTAACAATTTGCATATTTCTTTGTACTGTTATGATCACTAGAGCACATAACAGACTCTAGATATAATGTTGACTACTTAAATATCATCCGATGGTTCACGCTCCTCCCCATATATGTATGCACTCAAATCCTATTATTAGCTTTTGCTTTGTCTTGCTGCGCCCTTATAAAATTTGACTATAAATTCGCCTATGTAACTGCTGGCATATACTTATTCGCCTCTTCGCTTCAAATTGGCTCGACGTGTTTATTGCTTTGTGGTCCACTCTATCCCGTAATAAACTGTAGTTTCCGCTTCTCTTCGCCTTTTGATTTCAAACAGATTTGAAATTTATATTATAACGGTTATCGAGGTGAACGATTAGCGGAGCAAAGCCACTACAAGGTATATCAAATACATACTCTGAATCCCTACTGTGTCTATCAATTCGTAGTGCTACATGGACTTGCTTATCGTGTAATCCAAGCCTGTGTATGTTCACTGGAGCACTTGTTCGTTGAGGGCTATCACGTAAGCAGAACTGTTGGATAGCGATATGGACAAAATCACCAAGTGCAAAGTCCGTGAACGAAGTAATACTGTCATCTCTACTAAAGTATGGCTGCGATAAGATTTTTCTCACGATTAGCCATGATCACCAACTCTCCGAAAACGAATGGGAGGGGTAGTGAAGCTTGTCTTTAGAAACAGCGCACATTGCCCCAAAAATTTGTAGCGTCAACTGCAAGGTTTACAAAGCACAGAGCTCATATGGAAAACTACTTACAAAAAGACTATGTAACGGGCATCAAGTATCTGTCCCCTGGGCTATGTGGTCGTGCTCCTAGATCTGTAAGATCATCACTACTAATCTGACCTTTCAGTCAGGTTCCTCAGAGCGAAATTTCATCTTACTACATGAGCAACCAGGAACTGTCAACAGACGACACACCTCTAGCAATGCTCAGGACACTATTTTGAGATGGTACGGGAAATCTATAGATACGTTTTATTTAGTCAGTTGGATTATTTAAATCACGTTATAAAATATTAATTTAATTTGATGGTTATTTATTTTGATTTAGTTTTTTGAACTCCTTAACTTCTTGTCGGAAAACTTTGTTTTCGCATATATTGGTGTTTCAACGTTTACTTTCCCTCTTCATTATTGGAATGCTCGATTTGTTTTTATCGCATTGTTCTCATGTGTAATTGCTCGGGCAGTCAGCGTATATCCACTTACAGCCCTAATCAACTTTTGTCGAACTTACCAGTGTTCCTGTTCTACGAACTGTTTGAAGCGAAAGTTTGATTCCAATTCTCAACTATCCTTCTCTAGCGATAAAAATAATGTGCCTGGATCATCATTTCTTTCGAATCCAATTGATTTTGGTAATGTTGCAGTTACGCCAGCTGATAATAATAAGAAAAATAAATCTAACAAAATCACGTTAAATTTTCAACATATGATCTTTTTCTCAGGCCTTCGAGGTGCCATGGCTTTTTCATTAGCGATCCGCAATACAAGTTCTGAAATACGTCGGATGTTTTTTTCAACAATTATTGTAATAGTTATGACTACAGTGTTACTGGGAGGTTGTTTTGCCATATCTTTACTTCACAGATTGCAGATACCGTAAGTTTTTATGAGTGTATTAATGTTACTCAGAAAATAATATGATATGACGTAATTTCTCCGTTCACTTTCAACCACTTAAGTGTACTCAGATGTGAACCTTATCAATTTACCAAACCTAAAGTAGATTACATTACTTCATTAAACACTACTCTGTATTCGGTTATGAAGTATCTAGATTTAACGTAAAAGTTTGCTTTTCGAAGTCGATTAAAGCATCGGTATCTCCGTTATGTACGTTATTGTGAGTTTTGATGTTCCAAATGTAATCCGAACCTGTTACCTGTTTATTCAAACATAAAGCTTCGTGGAAGCTAGACGCACTCTTTGACTTCCATCATTAGTCACTTCCAAACATAAACTCACGATATATCCGTTCGAATACACTATCTGTGGATGGTTTATTCAGTATTGAAAATCAACGGGAGAAAGTTCCTGCTCTAACTTGAAGTTTCGTAAATTCGACCCAACCTAAAGTACCCCGACCCAGTAATGATACTGGTGCTGATGGAGAACTAAGTTCGACTAATACTCTCATCGATGAGATAGAGGAAGTTCAAAATGCCATTGACAACCTCAATGTTTTAAAAAAAGTGGTGTTGCATTGGCTTGCTGTGATACATGCCATATATAAACTACTTATCAATTACTAAACCAGAAAACAAAACTTTCTAATATTTCACGTTTGTTCTCTACATTAAATGTTGCTTTTTATACCATTCTGATCATGCCCGTAAACTGTTGTGAATTCTGTGAATATTATTTTCAGAATATATTATTATTATTAAAAGGAAAGTTTGAGTGTTTAAGCTCCTAGTATATGCGGTTGAATATATTCATAAAGTACGATCGCATATATTTTCTTATTAAGACGATTCTGATTTAACAAACCTTTTCTGGTAGTTCATGTTATATTACTAAATATTTTCCTCTCAGTTGCCTTTGTAATTTTATGTTTCATAATCATATACTGTCAACTTAATTTTTCGTGTCATTTTTCGACCTGGAGTTCCTTTATGTGTATAGTTACAAAGCTTTCATAACGAATGACGCACGCCCACAATTTTTTTAAGGAACCAGGACACTGAGATTCTTGATTATGATAGCCAGCTACTGATTTTCATGTTGACCTACAGAACTGTGACTGACCGACTCAGGTTTGCTCGTGGCCATATTATAGTTCGAAATCATGGGTGTAAAATATGTATAGTTGAATTATCAAATTATTGGGATTGTTTCGGGATTTTCTTATCTAGATACCGGATTCAAACTATCTAATTGAAAATAATATTATTCGCTCACATATGTTGTTCTAATTTATAATATAGGAATTTCTAGTATCTTCATATCGTCAACGGTTTTTTTCACATTCCAATTTATTAATTGGCTATTCGTATTATTATTAGTTATTATTATTATTAATTTCTGATTTATAGATTTATGTAAAATGCTTATTATACTGTTCTCTTCTTTTATGTTTAGTGTTGGTGTGGATTGCAACAGTAAAAACCAAGTAAGTCACGATGTGAATCTCTTGCCACTATTGTTTGATCCCCATAACTTTATGCTTATACATATATGAGTTTGGATTAGATTGGAATTGATACTGAAAATGAGATAAAACTAATAACGAGGATGGTCTTTTTAGTAAGAGAGATAAAAATTTATCAAAAATTATGATAAACTGATTACCAATACGTACAAAATATTGTCAAGGTTGTACCCGATTCATCAGAAGTAAACTTAATGTTTTAAACAGTCGGTTAGTACGTAATTTTCAACCCCTCTTAGTTATCTATGTTAAACGTTTTGCTGCATGCAGATATTTTATTTATTGCAAAGAAACGGTTTTTATGGTCAGTTGTATAAGCTAGATAAGTAGGTACCACCTAGTTGAACCTTATTAAATTTGATTAAGCAAAGCTTTTCTACCAATCCTTCTGATAATTTATTATCATCAAAGTTTGGTAGGTCGTTAATAAGGCATGCTTGAAATTAATCTGGATGACTTGAAGTATAGCTAGGGTCTTCTTGTTGTTTAAGTTTACTTTAATTGTGACCTTTGAATAAAGATAATCCTAGGGTATTATGATGTCAAATTTATTAACTGGTAGTAATGACATCGTAGGCACTAGTTCAAATTTTTCTGTGAACGTTAAAAGACTTGTTCGGAATAGTGTTAATTAGCTAGTTTCAAACCATATTCTGTAATATTTTTTTTCAGTGTACCGGTGAGGTCACTGGTTAAGTTAGAAAACAACTTTGCAACCCACCTAATCATCCATTTTAAGACATGTGGCTCGCCATATTAATTTATTAATCTTGATAACCACACTTCTTAGGATCCAAGTAACTAAATAATTATACTTCAGAGTCTAAGTAATCCACAATAATGCTTTTTAGCTTGAAACTTTTGAAAAGTGTTTCAATCTCCTAGTTTGTTTGGCTTTTCCCAACGTAGTGTATTATTATCGTCTTTATTTTAATGTTAAATCAAAATCGTGATGATTTTTCTTTCTAGCCACATACAGATACGGAAGAAGATTCGGTTGATGATCATAGTTGTTGTAGTTCTCATTGGATGAGTTTCGATAAATTGTAAGTTATCGTTTACATGAATTTGTATGCTTTTCATATTACAAAAATATTGTTTTGATAAACACTTTTTGGCAAAGCTTACAATAATAGAATTTATTTTATTCATTTCTAATCTAAAATAACAACATCATAGTTTCCCCGTCAGTCTATTTTTACATAGATCCGACTTGGTTGATTCCCCTGCTTTCTTTGAATGCATTTTTTAGGTGTTTCATTCTCAGAGATCGACTTTACATTTGATTTTGATACCAACATAGTTGTGTATTGTGATTGGCCAGCTTCTCCAACTAAATAAGTCAGGTCATTCGCTGGATTCATTCTCTAAATCAAATTATTTTAGCATTTTGTCACAGGTAGTCCCTATGTCAGTCGGGTCCTTTTTCGTACCTTCAGAATTAAATGACTGATCAGTTTGGTTAAAATATTCTCCTGAAATACTCCTTAGTAATTATCATCTGTCATCTTAAATATTCCCTAAATAAAATAAGTTTGTTTTATGAACAGTTTTAGACTTAGAAATTTCCCGTAAAACTACCAAATGAATTACCAAGAATACTTTCCTCTCATTTCATGGTAATTACATTTACACAACTCCTTAGATATATTTGGACTTGCACTTATTGTAGTGTTGCGGGCAATATAACTAGTCTGAGAGTAGTGATTTTCGTCCTTCATTTCCTGTCATTGTGTTATTCTTTAAAATGATTGATTAAAAAAAGAAATGGTTGTTTTGTGTTTTGTCATGTTTTAACTCATCAAAAAGAAACTATCCAGTTAGTAGAAAGTTACCATAAGGGATTTATAGAGAACATTCAATTCATAGATACTTTATGTCACAGACTGACCTCATCTTAACATCCATTAAATATCAGAGAAAATTGGCCACTTGTTTCGTTTCATTTTGAGACTCCCCAGGAGTCTACACACCCAACCCTGCCAGTAATTGTATTTGGTACCAAAGAATTTATGGTGTGCTCTTTACATATTAACCACTCATTTGGTATCCAATGCCCTGTGGTATAACTTACCTTAGTTTACTAAAAAATACCAGTAGAGTTACGTTGACAATAGGTTGGAGCTTTGTGCTTATTAGATATTAGACTGTTGTGCTATAATGTAATTCAATGTCTCGTGCCTTACTTTATGTTGACTAATATTGAACATGATTTGTATGTAATTTCAATTTGTTACTCTTTTTTCAGCTATTTGAAGCCATTACTTACACACAGCACTCCACCGCTGACCGAATCATTACCATCATGTTGTTATAAATTTGCTAATTTACTTACAACTTCTGAACAACGAAGTGAGACATTTGTCAGTAATGACGGGAATAATAGTTACCATAACAGTTTTAAACGTGATAGTACTACTGTATTTTATTCCAATGAAAAAGCATCAATCAGTTCTACGCTCAGTATAAATACTGTTAAAGTGCAACCTGTGGAAGTAAGTGTGTTTATTTGTGATTTTATTTTGTATTAAGATGCGTTTTACGAAGTTTATCAGCAGGGTAAAATGGTTTGTGTTTGAACAACTTACTTGTTTAGCACAATATTATATCAGTCAGTCAGTCAGCGACAACGTAGGACCAGGCACATATATACATCAGTCCAAGTTGCCATACCTCGTTAGCACAACAAGATGAACCCTGGATTCATAGACGTAATTAATTTAGTGGTGGTAGTATATAAAGAAAGGTTGTATATAAGGATATAGTATAGGAAGGAAAAAAGTTATGAAGCAATTTTAATCTCAAGGTTTAAGGGAAGATAAAGAGTGTATACACCTACTCCATTGTGATCGATTCTGAGCCATGTCACCTAGAGTCTCCAACCATTGGTTACGATAGTCACGCGGACCCCAACCAGGTAGTCTGCATCTTCCAACATGGCTCAGACTAGAAGTTAGTGACTTCAACCACTGATGCCATGTTTTGGTTTGGCCGCCCCTAACTCTCTTCCAACCATCCCCAACACTAGTCAGCATAGCGCGTCGTGGTAATCGATGTTCAGGCATACTTAACACATGGCCCAACCATCTCAGTCGATGAAGATTCATCACCTCATCAACTGATTTACCATCATTCCCTAATACCCTGCGTCTAACCTCACTATCACTTACCGGATGATCCCAGCAGATGCTGGCAATATTTCTAAGACATCTGTGGTCAAATACTAGTAACTTACGAGTATCTCCTGCTCTTAATGGTCATGTTTCAGAGCCGTAAAATAGAACAGAACGAACTGCTGCGCAGTATACTCGTCCCTTAATTGATATACGGATATCTTGTCTTCGCCATAGGTGACGTAAGTTGGCAAAAGCCAAACGAGCTTTCTGAATCCGTGCTGAGATTTCGTCAGACACCAACCCATTAGGGCTGATCAGACTTCCAAGATAAGTGAAGTTGTCGACGCGTTCGACTACTTCACTCCCTATCCTTAGTTCATGTGTTGACGCAGGCCAGTCCTGGAGTAACAATTTACATTTGGATGGGGAGAAACGCATCCCAAACATCTTGGCATTATTACTCAGTTCTAACAAGACTTTGCATTTTGTCAGCGTCTTCACCAAACAGAACTATGTCATATTTGTATTCTAAGTTAATAAGTGGACCTCCTGGAACGAGATCGATTCCTGAAAATTCAGTCGACGAGTGTGTTATTTCCAGCAACGGGTCTATAATGAAGTTAAACAAAAATGGGGATAGTGGACAGCCTCGACGGACACCACTTGAGATTGTAAAATCATATGACAGTTCGCCATAAGCTCTCACTCGATTGGTAGTGTTCGAGGAAAGAGCCTTCACAAGGTTTATGTACTTCAGAGGTACACCTTTCAATAACAGACACTGCCACAGAACCTCTCGGTCTACAGAGTCAAATGCTGCTTTCAAGTCAAGGAAAACTATCATTGTCGGACACCGATAAGCATGTCTGTGCTCTAAAACTTGACGAATGGTGAATATGTGGTCGACACAGCCACGACCAGGTCAGAAGCCAGTCTGATTTTCTCGTGTTCGCAGTTCACGAGTCTTAGTTAGGCGTTCGATAATTATTGAGGCAAGTATTTTAGATGCTATGTTAGTTAGACTAATCCATCTATGGTTATCACAGGATGATTTTGGCCCTTTCTTATATATTGGGAGATTGTGACCAGTCAGATGGGATTACGTCCGTCTCCCAGATTTTAGCCAGAATATTAGTCAACCTAATCGCCAAAATTGGACCACCATATTTAAAGACCTCTGGAGCCAATCCATCTGGAGAGCAGATAAGGGTTCCATCTTTTTTCGAGATCGTATATTATATATATATATATATGTATTATATATTATATATAACAATATTATATATATAATACATGTGATAGGGAGTGAAGTAGTTGAGCGTGTTGACCGCTTCACTTATCTTGGGAGTCTCATCAGCCCTTGTGGTCTGGTGTGTGACGAAATCTCAGCACGGATACAGAAGGCTCGTCTAGCTTTCACCAACTTGTGTCATTTATGGCGTAGGCGAGATATCCGTCTAGCAACCAAAGGACCGGTTTACTGTGCAGCAGTTCGTTCCGTTCTACTTTATGGCAATGAAACATGGCCGATAAGAGTAGAGGATATTCATAAGCTACTAGTGTTCGATCATAAGTGTCTTCGACACATTGCTCGTATATCCTGGGATCACCAAGTAAGTAATGCAGTTGTGAGGAAACGGGTACTGGGTGAGGATGGCAAGTAGTGAAACTCCATCAGTTGAGATGGCTGGGACACGTGTTACGTAGGTTCAACCACTGACTGCCCCAACGTGCAATGTTTCATGGTGTAGGAGTAGATTGGAAGAAAGCTAGGGGCGGCCAGACCAAAACATGGCACAAATCCATGAAGTCGCTGACTAGTGGACTGGGCCGTGTTGGTAGGTGTAGACTACCTGGTTGGGATTCGCGAGATGGTAGCAACCGATGGTTAGAGACCTTGAATGACATGGCTCAAAATCGTTTGCAATGGCGAAGGTGCATCCACTCTATGTGTTCTGCCAAATTCTAATCTTCTGAATTCTTCATGTCCCTATCCTTTTTCTCTTTCCAAATTTATTTTACAGGATTATACTCCTTCATTAATATCTTCAAACCCTAATCTTTCTGATTACTGATTATACTCTTACTACTTCTACCAATATGGGATTTGAATGGACAACTGCATCTCTGTGCTAATGTGGTATGGCAACTCGAACTGATGTATGTACGTACGAAGTTCTACGTTGTGACTGACTGATATAATACATAAGTTTTACGATTAAAATTGTATTGGGAATTGAGTGAATATCTTAACTGATGTCTAACTTTCCAAATTGAAGTGGTCAATTATGTATTGAAGGATTACTTTTGTTTACGTAATCGACCAAATTTACCAGGATTAAATCCATAAGTCTCTGATTTATGGATTTAATACTCAGTTATGCAATAGGCCACCACAACTGTCAAGCCATGCGACTTCATTTTCAATGTATTAACTGTTTCTCTTTCCACTCTAATGAAATTTTAAAAAATGGACTGGTTGTGGTATGCACTCTGTTTCTTTATTGTATTTGGACAAAATAATGTTTAGGGTTTCTCGGTATCTGCTTGAAAAATTTATTTGCATATTGCAAAACGTCTAATGATGCGAGGGCTTGATTTGTTTTCTTACAATTTATCAGTTATGATTATCATTAAAATCCCTTGAACATAATAAACAAAATGTAGGTTGTTCGATTAATGATCAGCAGTAGATTTAAACATTGAAGGTTTATTTTCCTGGAGTGTTTGACTATTTTGCACATACATAATTGTTTTATGTAGTTTCACAGTCTACAATGTTATCAACTATCAAATGCTTTATTATCATTGTAAACAGTCGATTTTTGTTGAGATACATTAAAGAGTGTTAATCAATAATTAGTTATCTCATTCGACCAATCGCCGAAATCAGATAAGCAAAGTATACTCAAGAAAATTTTAATTAAAGTAACCCGTTATTATACTCGCTTTAGGTAAAGTAAATTTCGAGTATGTGGCCTACTATTTGAAATGATAAACTGTACTTTGATGCATCAAAATCTTTAAAAAAATGTGTATCATATCATACCTGTGGTAAATATTGCTCTTATCAGTTGTAAACTGCAATTTAATAGTAGCGCATAATATATGTTTACTTCTTACATTCTTTTTAAGTAAATTTAATAGCTTTCTTTAAAATTTAAAAGCGGTATTTATTCAGAGTGCATGAAGTTGAATGAATTCTATCTACATATTCAGATATTCACGATTTTCCCGATCTACTCTTCCCATTCAAATAATGAGTACGAAATATTGATGTAATTGTTTATTTTATCTTCTCACAGTTGACGATAAAGTCACTTCTGTCTCAGTTACATACTAGTAGCATGAATGGCTTGATTGGGTTACATAAGGATAAAAAGAAGTCAATGTTCATTTGATTTTTTCTCGTAATATGATGCAGTTCATATTTTGACCAAAGTTCTGTCTTTTAGCAAAATTTATATTGTGTATACATTCCTTTTGATAAATCTCAGTGCAGTAACCATTTTCGTAAACGTCAATGAGCTCGTTTGATTATTAAACCAAATGAAAGTGTTGTAGAGTTTCTTTTGGTAATTTTCCTATTTCAATAAGCAATAAGTTGGCGTTTCTTTTTCTCGTGATAATACTAACTCTAACGAGCAAAGCAACTTACTTACTTACTTACGCCTGTTACCCCTCGTTGAGGACTATTGGCCATCGACTGGTATTCTCCATTCAACCCTGTGCTGGGCAATCCTTTCTAGTTCTTTCCAGTTGTTATTCATCCTTTTCATGCCTGCTTCCAATCCTCGACGCAGTGTGTTTTTTGGCCTTCCTCTTTTCCGTTTCCCTTCAGGATTTCAGGTTCCCGCTTGCCTCGTAATGCATTTTGATGATTTCCGTAATGTACGTCCTATCCACTTCCAATATCTTTTCCAGATTTCCTTCTCAGCTTGAATTTGGTTTCTTCCCCCCCCATAAAAAGTTGTTGCCGATAGTATCCGGTCAATGGATGTTGAGTATCTTGCGTAGAAAATTGTTTATAAATACTAGTACATTTTTGATGATAGTTGTGGTAGTTCTCCACGTTTCAGCTCCGTACAATAGGACTGTCTTGACGTTCGTATTGAAGATTCTCACTTTGATATTGATTGACAGTTGTTTTGAGTTTCATAGGTTCTTCAACTGTAGGGATGCGGCTCTTACTTAGCGAGTCCTCGCCTTTATATATGCATCAGATCCTCCTTATTCATCAGTAATGCTTCACAGGTACGTGAATGTTCCTACATCTTACAAAGTTACTCCATGAGGTGTGACTAGGTCGGTTGGTGTTCTCCGTGTTGTATTTGAGAATCTTACTTTTTCCTTTGTGCACGTTGAGGCCTATTGATGAAGAGGCTTCTGCAACTTTGGTTGTCTTCATCTAGGTTTGTTGGCGTATATGGAATAGGAGGACTAAGTCGTCAGAAAGTCCAAGTCGTTTAATTGATTCTGAACTGTCCATTGTATTCCGTGATTCCTGTCAGATGTCGAGGTCTTCATAATCCAGTCAATCACCAGAAGAAATAGGAAGGGCGAGAGTAACAGCCTTGTCTGACTCCGGTTCTTAATCGCAATGCATCTGTCAACTGTCCTCCATGCACGACTCTACACTGTAGTCCGGAGCAAAATAAACTGTTTATATATATTTGACAATGATGATGATGATCATAATCTTTATTTGTATGAATTCTATTATCTTAATTATGTCATTGTTGATATTGTTGTTCCTTCTTTCTTTTTCACACTGATATTTATGCTGAAAGTGTGCACAACTTATTCAACTAGACAGTGATAACGATGACACCAATATTAATGATAATAGTAATAATCAGTATAAGGTTAGTTCTGTTCTCTAAAAATTAAAGCACCGTGACACGAACTGTGCTCTTATCTGTTTGTGATTTCCAACTTCTTCACTAATTCCATATTCTCACATGTTGCGGTGATCTGCTAGGCTCATCCAACATGCCAGTGCGTGTGTTCACTTATAAATTAATCTGCATAGTAAATGAGTACAGTAATAATGGTGAAAAAAAATATTATTACTACTATTTGTTCTTTAATTTCTTATAAGGATAAGAAGATTTTGTTTTCAAATTTCAGTTCTCATTTCGTTTTTACTTAATTCTATGTAATGCTGCTAACTTTGTGTGCTTGCCAGACACTGACTACCTTTCTAGTTTCTGTCTTATAATTGTTGTATGTCCTCTGGCTATTTTTGCTTGTATTATGATTTGCTTTCACATAGCAATCATTATGCAGATATAGAGTTTTAATTTTTAGTGAATCTTAAATTATTATATAGATACTAAGACTGAAATAAGATATTATGTGCATAAAAGTATATATGTAGACATGAACTACATTTGTTAATCGTTTCCTATTAACCCAATTATGCCAAAATATTGATTGATAGTATTACGCTGTTGATTCTTCTGAAGAATGTATAGTCGTTCATCCTGTTTTCTTGTCTATATCAATGCAGAAAGTTGGAGACAAAAAATCGTATTTTCAACGACATATAAAATATCTTCTCAAGTGATTGTTTTTTGTTTATAATCTGGTTTATACGATATCTATTCGGCTAGGATAGTATGATCAATGTTAGTGTTGATGTTTATCTACCTATGTTACTTGTGTTAATATACATGTACAAATTATTTGCATCATAACATGGAAAAAAGTCATTAATCGTTAATCTAACCTGTTTGAGGTCTTTGTGATGAAAAGATTTATTAGCTAGGAACCCTGATCTTGTAATATTTAGATTAAGTTATTTATTTTATTTTTCTTGTTATTATACTTATAATCATCCATTGTTTTGGTTTGGCGACTTTCTTTCACTGTCCTTGTTGCATTTTATGTTTTTTCCTAGATATCTATAGTATTTAAAAAGTTGAAAGTTGAAGTACTACCATTTTTAAATTCATCCTTTTTTTTAATTGCCCTTTTCCATCATACCTTCATTAATACAGAATATTCGATTGTTTGTAATTTTTGTACTATTTGAAATACATTGAATAGTTTGGTAAACCTTAAAATATACTTTATTTATTAAGTAACCGACTATTAATCATAAAATTTAGTTGAAATATGAATACTTTAAGGTTATTCTGTCTGATCAGTTAGTTCATTTATCCCATTTCACATATACACAAAAATAAAATCACTTATCCTAGCAAATGAATCAGTTTATTATTATTATTCATACTCAGATAGTTAACTAACATATGAACAAATGCAAAATAAACTATATTTCGTGTCATAAATAATTATTAGACAGAACTACTCTTTATGAATGCTGAATGCTGATGATATAAGTCCAAATGTAGCTCACTGCTTTAAGTCATTTATCGTTTATTAACTGCATCATAGATCCCAATCTTATTTCTTTTTTCCTGATTATAATAATAGAATAATATTTATAATATCTCTTTAACAGATAGTAATAACTTCAAGTCGAGCACATCATCGTGTACTTGATTACTGAGTAATCCCTCTTTGGGATGAACACTCATTACTTGTAATTAACACTTCATACTTTTTTTATTCTGTGCGGATTATTACATCACATTTCTTTCGTTGTATAGGTTTTTATGCTTTTGTGAAGGCGTGCATAACTATATTTCTTTCCCTCTCGCTTTCATTTATTTATCAAATTTAGGTTGTATTCTATTAAGTTTTCCACAAATCTGATTGAGCTATATGATATGATAGTATAGTATGATGCTCTGTAACGATATTCTGTGCATGTTCATTTCTTGCCAATTTATCATCATGAATATATAATTGATTGTTTGTATAAAGATGTGTATGTATTGGGGGTGTGTTCGCCTGTAATTTGGTCTGTAAACGAACCTCTTTAGTTAATCATACACAACAATTTATTCTTTTTTTCAGCTTGGTTATGGAAAGGATTTTCATGATCCACTTTATTTCAATGAAGTTATGTGAATAAATATACAATGAATTATGAACAATAACAGAAAAAATCAACGTTGGCAATTGGCATCATCATCATATCTGGAAAAAGCACTTGTCATTAATGCATTTTTTTTCCTTAATCGTTGGTATTTTTCTTACTCCCTCTCTCATAATCTGTTAGATTTGATTGTCCATGACCGAAAATTCCATTTATATGTTTCCATTTATCTTTTATATAAATATGAGGAGACATATTATAATAAAGAGCACTGATACTCATTTGATGAAGAAAGATACACTGAACAGTAGATGGGAATTATTTATAAATAAATAAGCGTTTAGTTATTTTTTGCGTGTGTGTGTTAACTTCAAACTATCTATCTTATCACTTTTTGTCCTCTTTTTTTACCTTCCCTGTGTACATTCTTTTATTACGCACTATTGTCCCAGATGCATCTATCAGTAGAGAGATATTTATTTTCTTTAAAAGTAAAACAGTATACATCTTTACATCTAATTGTTCTGTGATTTATTAATTTCATTCCATAGATTAAAATTAATTTCATAGTTAAAAAGCATCATGTGTTACTTTCATTTTATTTTGTTTCATGTTATACTTGTAAATTCTGTTATTTATGTTGTTACTAAATCTCATTTACTAATAACTAATTACACATTGTAATATCCTTTTGAAATATTATTTTTGTATTTTTTGTCAGTCTGTTTATATTTGCTTGTTCACTCGTTCAACTACATTGAATCATTACTATTGGAAATTTTATTTAATTTAAATGTTTTTAAAAGCTTTAACAAGAAGGATTATATTGTACTTTTTTTAGCTGAATGTTCACATATATATGCATGTTTCATATATATGTGTATCATATACTAATACTCTACTTGAAATTTTATGTATTTACTTTAATCATGTCTAAAAGTAGAGTACAGAAATGTCCGTCACTCAGTTAACGAGTTATGTATAAATTCTTGATAAACAACACAAATTGAACTTTTATTTATACAATGAGAATTAATTGTTTGAACAAGAAGAAAACAAAGTGATGGTATTCTGTTCGATTATCTCTTTAAGTATGGTTCATTATTCACCTGAATCGTGTTATTCACTTAGGTGAAATTCTATTATGATTGAAGGATTGAGCTTACAGCCATTGAATAACAGCTCGGAATTCTTTTTCACTTCAATTCAGACAATCAGATAGTATTTTTGGCGTTCATAGGAAAAGCGCGTAGCTCGAGGTTTACTTAATAAGTGACTTCATCAGTCGGTTAAATGAAGATCAGTTTTGTTGTTGAAGGTTATATAATAATCCTGGTATTTCTTTTTCGAGATATATATTCCGAATGTTTGCTGTAAATCTTTTTATACTCCAGTGATTTAACCACTGACAAGTGGCCAAAATGGAACAAAATTTTACAGTTTATAACACTGACATACTTGATTAGACTAAAACTTATAAACTGTATATTGAATAGCATCCACTTCATAAAGTAGTGATACTAGATACTGGAAAAGTCAACTGTTGTCCGAACTTTAACACCTGTTTAAAATTTCCATTTTGACATTTGGTAAATAAAGAAAGAACGGATCGAGCGAATAAATTTCATTGCAATTAGTTTTTCATCATGGCTCTACACTAATATATATATACATGTTTTACAATAATAATGACATATCGATTATAAACTAACATTGAGTAATTGGAAGAAAGAGGATTATCATAATCAAAGTAGTTATTTGAAAACTAAGCCGTTGAACTCCCTTGGTATTGTTTGTTTGGATCTTCCCATCGATGTGTTTCGGACTGCAACTGGTCAGTCTCCAAGTGAATTCAAACTTCACCCCATCGCACAAGCAAGTGGCTATCAGGACTCAGTGGCCGAGTGGATAACGCGATGGCGTTTGAAGCGAGGGTACTGGGTTCGAGTCCCAGAGTGAACATCAACTCTGAGATGCAGGTACATCCAGCTGACGAGTCCCAAATAGGACGAAACGCGCGTCCTGGATTCCACTGCTAGCCACTATCCATCTCTGCTTACTAAGCCGTTGAACGTTGCATAATATATAAAAAATGAGAAGGAACTAACAAAATATTTTGATATATGGTCAGTAATATTGTAGTTATGTAAGAATCAAGAGACAAATGTACAGAATAAGTAAAATACAAAAATGGAAGGAATACAATTATTGTTTACCCAAGTTCTGCCACAAACTCCCCTATACCGATGGTCAAGGTAGCAAGAGTGGTTGTACAGACGTCTTTTGAATATAAAGGTTCGGTTTGTGAATATGGATTGCGATGACTTCAGCTATGTGCAACACGAGCTCGTAAACCATGCGGCAAATTTGATGGAACATGGTGGTTAACCTTGAAAGCTTTATTCAATTCAACTTGATGACCTGTGTCCACCAAGTGAGCAAGAATAGGACTCTTAATCACTCTTACCTGTCCTTTGTTCAAACAAGAGGGATGTTCCGTTATGCGATGACGAACTTTCCGAATTTTAGGCCCTGTATAACTGGCTCCATAGGAGCAGTTGAATTGGTAAAAATCCATGGATGCGGCGAATTCAAGCAATCTGACTTTATTAACTGTTCTTATTATGGGGCGGCTGTAGAAGATGGCACCCACTCTGACTGCATTGTGTTTTCTGTACCGCCTTTCATGACCTTTGATTCAATTCCTTCAGTAGCGTCATTCAGGAACAGTACTTTCTTTGGAACGGTAGGTACCCTTGTCCTACATGTGTTTGTCGATGAATTTCAATGGGTATCCATTCCTACTAAACAAGTTACGAATATTAACCAATTCATCTACAATAATGTCATCCAAACAAATCATTCTAGCACGATGAGTCAGAATCTTTATCAACTTTCTTTTGTATGTAATTGGTATAGTACGATAAAAATGAGTGTATTGTTCAACTGTAAACTTTCTATGTATCCCTCTTGATTCTTACATAACTACTATATAACTGACCATTCATCAAAATATTTTGTTAGTTCCTTCTCATTTTTTATATATTATGCAACGTTCAACGGCTTAGTTTTCAAATAACTACTTTGATTATGATAATCCTCTTTCTTCCAATTACTCAATGTTAGTTTATAATCGATATGTCATTATATAATTATTACACAACGTATCTACTCGATATATATATATATATATATATATATATATATATATATATATATATATATATATATATATTAGTGTAGAGCCATGATGAAAAACTAATTGCAATGAAATTTATTCGCTCGATTCGTCCCTTCTTTACTTATGTAAACATTTAGCTATTGAATTCTCTGCAATCTGCATGCTCACTAGAAGACAAATTGTCAAATATTTCAGATATTTTAGCGGAAATATAAATATTACTACTGTTTATTGACCTAAAGTTATCGTGTTACATACAGTTGTATTACTGTTTATACTATATTTGTGCTGGAATAGTTTAAAGTTGTTACAGTTACTCGCTAGAACTTTTCTGAGTTAGAAAATTTAGTTCTTACCATTCACAGAGTGTACATGGGATTATGACTTCATTTATTATGCACGATATATTAAGTCCGGTACTTTAAAGGTGGATCACAACTTCAGTGATTTGTTGTTAATGAGAGTGAGTTTAAATCAACTGATTTTGGGTCATTAAGGTACATGTTATAGTATCCTCGATTTCGATCTATGGATTAAATGACTTGTTAGTTGTCAACCAATCTATGTGAAGCTAAAAAATGACAGAATCATAACACACTATGAAAAGGATTTCTGAAGAGTTTCTGGCATTGTTCTGTTAGCTGGCACTTAACGTCACACGAATAGTATTCCAAAGTACTCATATATATTACCTTCAGGTTCAAAAATGTATGAATGACGCTTGTTGTTATGCAAATGATATTTAAAAGAGTGAGATAGAAAAAAATATGTTTATTATCTTATCACAGTAAAAATATAGTTGATCCAGTTTTCACATAAGATGATAAAAAACGCCAAAATTAATTACGGAGTGTTACCGTTCACATAGATGGTAGCAACTAAACCTTCCTTTCATCTGACACCATTGCTCCTCACGATTAACTTATTCGACAAAACACAAATATTTGAGGGTTATCTATCACAGTTTCAATCTCCCATAGTGTTATGTAAATTCTTATGAAACGGACTAAATATCAACGTCAATTTTTATTGTGCATTCATTTTCTCGTTTAATATCAATAAATATTTTTTTGCTTATGTCCTAGGTGTACTTTTCTTAGTGTTCTTGGCACGTGTATCTATGTAAATCTATACAAACTTCTTAAGATGACATTTTCTAATTTTGTTTGACTGTTTTAAAAGTTTGTACACGCATTATTATTACTATTTGCTGTTATATCCTGTCTTCACATTTTCGTCACAATAACATCTTTATCGTTTGTTTAGTGGTATGGACTTACTAACATAGTTCTCAGTCACAGATTTTGTTAGGCTAGAACTTCTATTTCAATTTTCTGGTATTCTTATAAAATTCAAATATCTCATTATTTTGAAAAAATTATAGGACAGTTCATTTCAGTCCATCATAATTTTCTACTAGATACCTAAAAATTCCGAGGTTTATTTCCATGTGGTTTATGAATATAACGGTCGTGAAGTTTTTAAAATAAAAGACTCTCACATCATGATTTCCTGATTTTCAATAGTTATAAAAAAATAAATAAAAATGATGTTTGTTGTAACTGTTGTCCTACTGCTAATACTTGGAACCGAAAATCGCTGTAATTTTCATGACGCAAAATAAGAGCACGGGAGACTGGTGTAGGTGAAGATTTTATTGACCCTACAAAATGCATCGTCACCAACCAAAATAAACACATTTATACTTAAAATTCAACACACTTTGATGATGAGTTAATAAATATCCTAGAGAAAAATTTACCACAACAGTACGTGAAGTTCATATTGAGTTAATACAAAGAGTATTGATCTGAATAGGTGTCATCTAAAAATTCAAACCTACTTTATATTAAACAAAATGTTATGCTGAAAATAAAATCAATAACAAAGTGTTGCACTGTTAGGAAATCATGACCTTGCCTCTAGAACGCATTTCAACATTATTATTTTCTGTCAGTTATGATTGGAACGTGTTAACAAATAGTCAAAAGTTGAATGTCTTAACCACCAAAACTAACACTTTATTCAAGTATTCGGAAAACCCTAATCAACTGTGGGTTGACTAACGGGTTAATAATGACTGGAGATATTCTCAACGTTGTTACATCAACTAAGTATACTGTAACCAGAAATCACGGTGATTTTTCCATTCAGTCAGTGAATTTTACATAGTATATAATAGTTTTATTAAAGTAATTAAGGGTGTGACTTTTGCTGTAATTGTATTCTTTTTTCACCGTGTCTGGTCAAGCTACATGGGACTTGTTCATAGCAAGTTCAAATTATATTTCAGTTGTAGAAAGCGTTAGATTAGTTGTGAATTTTTGGGAGTAAATATTTAGCGAATAATGTTAATAGAAGAAGCTCTGACACTATACTTAATAATGACGGTTGAACTTTGAACAGTGTATTTAACCCTAAATAACTTTAGTCTTGAGACGTTACATTTTTTGCTTATAGGTAAGTCAATATCACCTATGTTTAATTTACAAACTTTCTAGGCTTCATTGTGTATAATGAGCTTATCTAAGTAACATGTCTAATCAAATCAAACATTAATTAAGATACTTCTTAAGTTAAGTATCCTTGACTTTCAAACAATTTGGTGTATTCAATATAATAATAATAATGGTTGAAGAAAGTAATAAATCATACAAGTTTAGTAGACTGATTTGTATAACACTTCCTTTCCTGTTATGTGCTCAAGCGTTCAAAGTAGAAAGATGACAGTATAAAAAGGAGTAACATTAATACCTCCTAGAATTTTATACTTATGCTGAAAAAAATACTCATCAAGAAAAAACGTTTTAAACTATTCAGTCTCTATTCAAATTTAACATCGAGATAATGTGTGTTAGTAAGAAATATTGCCACTGAATCGTTTAAATCAATAAACCAACAATGTATCTAAGGCCATTGAATTAAGACTACTAGGTTTTCTATAAACTATGAATACCTAAATAATTTAAAAAATCGGTAATTATTTTGTTGCA